TATACTATTATGTGTATTGCAACGTCATTTGTTGCAAATAGTTGAGAAAATCATGCAAATTGTGTGTTATGGTTTCAACAAATTCGGAATCATGTAGATTGTGTGTAAGCAAATATTCTTTTTTCCACTCAAATCTCATGTTATATAGGTTTTGAACCCCGAAACCTTCAAACCTATTCCAATTATCTTTCTTTGAATTTGGTGTTTTTTTCTCTTGATTTTTTTTTCGAGTTCTATTTCTAACAATGGTCACGATCATGAAAAAACCTATTTGTTGTAATTCTATCGCTTTCTTTGTTTTTGTTTTTTATAATGTACTTTATGTAGCCCCCCCCCTCCTTTTTATAGCTTTTCAAAAGATTGATTAATATTAAAACAAGTTGATGCATTTAGTGAGTCAGATTTTAAGGGGAACCCAACAACAATGTGCATCCTTGAAGAAAAGCATGAAAGAGAGGACGAATGGCTTCACTCTCTAGCCGCTGAATTCAACGTCTCTGAAACTAGTTTTTTCACTCTAATCACTGGTTTCGAGGCTCGCTTTTGTCTACGGTGGTTTACCTCAATAACCGAGGTTTGGTGACTTTTGACTTTGTTTCATTGTATGTCGATTTTGTTTGGTTTACTCATAGATCAGAATTATTTAAAATCTCATCCATTGATTTGTAGGGTTTAGGAACTTTGGCCTCTACTCATAGCCTCTTTTCAAACGGCTTCGTTGATTCAGACAATGTGGAGTTTGTAACACGATCAAGGATTCTTACATCAAACGGCTTCGTTAATGCATCAACCTGTTTTAACATTTGGATGTAAGAATCCTTGATCGTGTTACAAACTCCACATTGTCTGAATCAACAAAGCCGTTTGAAAAGAGGCTATGAGCAGAGGCCAAATTTCCTAAACCCTACAAATCAATGGATGAGATTTTAAATAATTCTGATCTATGAGTAAACCAAACAAAATTGACATACAATGAAACAAAATCAAAAGTCACCAAACCTCGATTGTTGGGGTAAACCACCGTAGACAGAAGCGAGCCTCGAAACGAGTGATTAGAGTGAAAAAACTAGTTTCAGAGACGTTGAATTCAGCGGCTAGAGAGTGTAGCCATTCGTCCTCTCTTTCATGCTCTTCTTCGAGGATGCACACTGCTGTTGGGTTCCCATTAAAATCTGACACACTAAATGCATCAACTTGTTTTAATATTAATTAATCTTTTGATAAGCTATAAAAAGAATAAAAGAAGGAAGCTACATAAAGTACGTTATAAAAAAAAAAAAAAAACATAGAAGACGATAGAATTACCACAAAGTATTTCATAGGCTTCCTCATGATCGTGACCATTGTTATAAATAGAACCAGCAAAAAAATCAAGAGAAAAAAAAAATACCAGATTCATAGAAAGATAATTGGATTAGGTTTGGGAGTTTCGGGGTTCAAAACCTATGTAACATGAGATTTGAGTGGAAAAAAAAATATTTGCTTACACACAATCTGTATGATTTTATCAATTGTTTGCAACAAATGACGTTGCAATACACATAATAACAATCTGACATCTCACTGAGATTATTTGTTGTTTTGCTGTAAGTCTTAAGGTTTCTATCTAAATCCTAAAACCTTAATTCATTCTATATATCATAAGGGAAACAAAACAATATAATTATGAAATTCAGCATACCCAAACTAAGTGTTAGTGGGATCATCACCACCTTTGGCCTACTTGTAAATTGTTCCAAAAGCCTCAACAAGACTTAAGGTACTTTGCTTCCGGAATTATATTTTTTAGTTTCAAGAGATGATTTTGTGGACATTAAAAGTTGTAATAATAGTGGTTACTATAAACTTCTTGTTTCTCTAGAGAAAATTGAAACTCGATCAGGCAAAATCATCAAAACCAACAAATATTCAGTAATAATTTTTGTAGAGATCACCAATACCGACAAAACAATTAAATCAGAATCAACAAACATTCAGTATTACCTCTTCATAGAAGATATGTTTTTGATGTGTAGTCATTCACCAAGAGTGTTATGCGTTATTTTTAAGCTGGTTAGAAACAATTCTTGATTTAAGTACATGTTGTAGGAATAAGAGTGTTTTGTACCAAAAAAAGTTTAAAGATAGTCTTTGAGACATGAATAACATACAATGTAGCTGCAGTCGGTTGTGACGAAGGGTGCTTCATGGTTTGATAGGCAAAATTCAATATTCATTACGGTAGAAACTTCATTACCACTTTTAGAGACTGATGTCTTGAAGACCAGAGCTTCTTTAAGATACTCATTATTAGGATGATTAAATCAATATAGTACAAATGTTTGTACATGTAAGTGTTATGAGTCTAATACTCCTTTTTATTGGATTTTTCCCCAAAAATGCTTTTTCTACTAGTCGTCTCAATCTCCATTTCGTAAAGATATTAGTATCATAAATAAGATTTCAAGGATAAGTACTAGTTCTAATAAAGGATAACAAAATAGTACGTATTATACTATTATGTATAACGGAGAATGAGACGTTTAAGAAAATTAACATATCAAATAGTAAAACAAAAAAATGTAAAAAGGGAAAGACACATAGAAAACAAATGATATGTATGTGCTTATGAGATAATCAACTTAGTAAAGTAAGTTCATAGTACATGAAAAATAAAAGACTAAATGGTGACATTAGTTTGCGGAATTGTTGTGGAAAACTTGTTGAATTCTTTTTTTGTCACATCATTTACACAAATTTGGTTTAGTAATATTTTTAAGTTTGTAATGTTATTATTATCATTATTATATTTTTAATAAATTATGAATACTTTGTTAGACAAAAAAGAATACTTTAATATTACAAATCATATTTTCATAAATCTTTTTTAATTTGTTTGTGTGATGATTATAAAAATAATTAGTTGACTTTTCTTTAAAAGTAAAAGACATAGATATTGATGAAATTGGTTAGGTTCATATTGATGACTAAACAATAAAATTAATTTTGTAAACAATTAATAATTAATTTTAATAGCTTAATGTTTTATATATATGATAATTATGTTAGATAAAACTATTAAATATATTAGCGATGTTACAAAGAAAAAACTATTACATATATTAATTTAAAATTCCACCAAAATCTACCTTGAGTATATTTAAAGTCATGAACATTTAAGGATGAAATCACTCATTTCAAAGTGCGAGATTGATCGGTTGATTGTTGGCGACTCTAGATATTTGGTTACACATCATGTTTTGTAGTCGATTTTATCATCAACATGAACAATTGTACCAAGTACAGATGGTGATGCCTTAGGTTAAACCAAACAAAATAAACCTTAATTCCCTTGATATTTTATTTTATTAGGGATCATACTTTACTTGATCTTAATGGGTTTCACACACCAAAAGAAACCTCCATATATAAACATAAAAATATTTGTTTGAAGATCATATCACTCCACAATTAAGTTATCAATTCAAGATCTCAAAAGCTAACATTGTTATTCACATATATTTACTTTCAATGGCTCATAAATATCATACTAAACTTTGGATCATTATCGGTTCAATTCAAAACTCGACTCGTTATCTTAAATTTTCCCATTTTTTGTTATTTTGACCAATCATCATGCATGATCCCAATGCTGAATTAAGGAGCAAATATATTCTCGTAAATATACAACACCAATGTCATTACCATTAATCTTGACCGCTTTCGTTAATAACCGCTTTAATTTCCGGTTTGCTTTTAGATAATATCTTAATTCTTAGCATGAAAATTTCTCCACTCGTATGGTTAGGTGTTTTAACACGATCTAAAATTTACATAAAACCATACATTTCAGTAGAACAAATGGTGCAAGTGGTACAAATTAATGTGCATATTTATCAATATGTCTAAGATTACACGTAAACTGAAAATTACATACAACAACTTTAACAATATTAAAAAATCCTCACACAAAATATTCGTTATATAAGATTAAGATCCATTCAAACCAAGACTCATATATAGATTTTGTTTTGTTATATTTTTGTTTATTTAATATAAGCTCATAGTCATATCCAGCTGGAACTTACACAAGAATTTAAACAGAGAAAATGAGAAAGAAAACAGTAGTCAGGTGCTTTGATAAGCAAACAATTTGTGGTTTATATGAGTTTTAAACAAGCAAACACAAAAAAGAAGAGAACTCCAAAAACGACTTTATACCAATATCACTCACGTCACGTGTGGACCAAACCAAATCTTTCTCAAATCGCAGCCAAAAGGAAATTTTACAATTACTTTTTCTATTTTTATTCACTAAGAAAATATTTTATTAACATACAAACCGAATAAACTATAGACAAAAAAAAAACAAAGAGAAAAGATCAAATTTGAAAAAAAAAAAACAGAAATTTATTCCAAAAACAAATTAGAATCGTTTAGAGAAAAGCCAAAAACAAACTTTTTATTATTGTTTGTTTAATTTAAGGTCAAAAGAAAAAAAAATAACAATAATTTTTAAATCGTTTTTATCATTGTTTGTTTAATTTTAGAAAAGCCAAAAGAAAAAGAAATCTTCAGTTATATCTTCTCCGATCTTCTCGGTTCCATTTTTAATCTCTCTGATTCAGTTATTCTCTCTGACCAAACAAACGTTTCCAAAATTTTCTCTCACTTTCTCGGGAAAATTACAACCAATCCTAGAAAATTCACACAGCTATTTTTTAACTCATCCATATTTTCCTTAATCATCATCATCCCTCTCCCCTATTTCTACTTTATCATCCACAAGTTTCTCACAATCTTTCTCCTCCTGGGATCATCATCATCGTCATGATTTGATTAGCAAACATAACCTAGAATCAAATGATGAATGACCTTATCAACGATGGGTCAATTTTCACTAGATTCTATTTCCTCGGAGAAATCTGAGAGAAGAAGGTTATTACACTAATCCAGGAAGTTCCAGGCCGAAACCAAGACTAATCCCGAGTTTCATTGAAACCCGTGTTTTCTTGGCCATCACGTGATTTTTTTTAATTTTAATGACTCGTCACGTGATTTTAAAATCGCCGTTGTTAGCTTCAACGGAAGAATCAACGATGAGAAACTCTCCTCCTTTGACGACGGCGTTGAGCAAAGAGAGACGAAAGGTTGGGGAGGTAGCGGGAGGAGCGGCGGCGGAGTGTGCGGCGGTGTGGTGTTGTTGTCCATGCGCGGTTGTGAATCTGGTGGTTTTAGCTGTGTATAAAGTTCCGGCGGCGGTTTGTAAAAAAGCTTGGAGACGAAGTAAACGACGACGTTTTACGAGGAAACGACATGGTTTGCTTGCGTCAGCGACGGCAGAAGGAAGTGAGAGCACCGTACACGCTAGATTGAATGAGGAAGATCTAACGGCTGATATTGTTTTTGAGGATTGTCAAGTGAGTGCTGAGTTAAACGACGTCGTTAGGCTTGAAAATGAAATGTTGGATCGTTTCAATGGGGCTGGCTTTTGGAGAAGCCCTTCACAGAGGGACACGTCATCAGGAAGCCTGTGAATTCTTTTTATGAGTCTTTTGGGTTTTTTGAAAGAATCAATAGTAATTTATTTATTAATTTTATGTAATTTTAATTGTGTTATGTGGGTATGTGAATAGGAGAACCTTGCATCCTTTATACAATTTTATTTGTTTTCTGCTTGTTTTAAATGTAACTATGTTTCATTGTGTTAGAATTAATGGAACCCATAAAGATCCTATAGGATAAAATCGCTATAACCGTAACCAAACCGAACTGTGTTTTTTTGGAGTCGGTTCCGGTTCGGGTACTCGGTTCTGAATTTTATGTTCATGCCTAGGTGAAACAACGTAAACAACAATGTGATATCTCGATATGTTATGATGAACAGGGCCGGCTCAAATTTTTTTTGGACCTTGTGCCCAATTATTTTTTTTCAGAAAACTTAAAGTCTTATTTGCAAACATTTAAAATTTAGGACCCTTATTTGCAAAAATATCAAAAATTTAGGACCTTAAAAGCTTCACAAAAACTGACAAAAAAAATGTGGACCCAGTGCTCTAGCACTGTCAGCACTCCCTCTAAGCCGGGCCTGATGATGAACATGAACTTAACATAGAGTTACGTGGATGTTTATTGCTTGGTTTAAATAATGAATCAATTTCATCATAATTCTTAGTTTTGCTAATGGGAAATTTTGATAATGAAAGTGTATTTGTTTTCATTGATCAACAACTCTTTTTTTTTTTCTTTTCTTAATCAAGAACTCATTGTTCTTTCTTCATATGGTTATCCATTCTTTGTAGTTCATGGTAGTTGAAAATGCATTCGGGCCTTATGAGCAATCAAATGTACATTAGTTATACATTAAACATACATAAGAAGAAATAGTCAAGTGTGTGGTCATTTTAGATTATACAAGATTACAAAATTATGGAGATGATTGGTTCGTGACTGTGAAGACTTTTATTTTTTTGTATAGTCCTGTCCTGTATGTTTTTATTCAACCACACTCAGCATTTTTTTTTCTGTTTAAAAAGTATGTACAGTTCAATTGTTTTTCTCTTCTACTTTTCGTTTAGATTTTTAAAGTAATCAAAACAAGACTTGTTGGGCTGTATCTTCTAACTTTACAAAAATTGTTGACAAAAAATAAATGTTAATGAAAATTAATAAATTCGGTAATTGTTTAAAGTTACAACTTTTGTTTTTTGATTAAAAAAAAGTTATTTACCGCCAGAATTTTGAGTAATTGGTTCCAAAAATCTCTGCATCGAAAGTTGATGAGGACATGAGTTCAAAACATACCGAAGTTGTCCGGGTTCCGACTATATATCAACCACCTAGAACAAGGTCCGGTACAAAGACAATGCGGGAAGAATTCAACAAAGCTGTGGAGAGTTTGATAAGCTATAAAGAAATGAAGAACACCATCACACAATTCGATAATCTTACCCTTTGTAGAAATAAGGTTAAACAAGAAGAAAGAGAGGCCAAGGAGAAGCAACAAACAAAGGTTAAGAGTCTAGACTTAAGTGTTGGCCCAAGCTTTTATGAACCAACAAGTGAAAGGCCTCTTCTCAAGACAAGTCAAGCCCAAGTTCTCTTTGTCATCACTCCAAACGACGCCACTTAAGGAAACGTACGAGGAAGACGTTCCAAGGCCGAGAGCTTCCTCCCCAAGCTAAGGTATGCGTTTAAATCTTTTCAATTAAATGTCAAATTTCCTTTTCTTTTGCAGGTTGGTTGAAATTAGTCTAGATTTATTTTTGTCATTTATTTCTCAATTATTTGTGGCTTTTTCTTCTTTTTTTTCTGAGGACCCTAGAAGGTCAAAGCTGTCGACATATTAATAAGGTCCATTGCAGCCATTGTAGCTCACGTTTTTTTTGCCTATTATCAATAAAGAGAGAATTTTCTTTAAGTGTTTACGAGTTCACCGATCTTGTGCGGGTTCCACTGGATTAGTGAGTTCTTCGACTTATCACAATCTCACTCATCGATTGTGTGGCGTCCCTCGATCCATTCCATCTCTTAGTCGAAGCAAAGAGAACCGTGTGGTCCTTTGTACCGGCTCCGTCAACTCCGGTTACGACATCTACGTAGATAGAACCGTGTGGTCATCTACTTGGATCCTATCAGCTCCTTGATCTTATATCAAAGGTCTTTGCAACCAAAGTTTTTACAGTTAAAATTTTTACAGTCAAAGTCTTTATTAATTATTTCATATCGGTTTTTTCAATAATTAATGTTGGTATAAAATAGAAATGAATATAGTAACGTCAGTTTTAAAAGGGACGCAATAATGTTTGAAGCTTCACTGATGTCATTTTTAATATATATACTAGGATCGGATCCGCGTTCCACCGCGGGAGAATATTGGTTTATATGTAGTGTGTGACATTGATTTTAATATTGTGCGTGTTTTTAGTAGAGTGAATCGTATAATGTATTTAATAGCAAATAGTAGAGAAAAATGATAAAATTTGTCATATTAATTATGATTTAGCCACAAAGTAGAATTTTGTTTTTTGGAATTCTAAAATTAGACGATTGATGGGAATTAGAACTGTCAAAATGGTCAAAAATGTGGGTCCCACGCTAGTCGGTTCCACCTCGGTGGGGCCGGACACCCGAGTTATCAAAAAAAAAAAAAAAAAAAAAAAAAAAAAAAAAAAAAAAGGTCAAAAATCGCGAGTTGAGCCCAACATGTCACATTGGGATAGGTTTGGGCTAATGTGCTTCAATTGTATTAAATTCTTCTTCTCTATTGGGGAAAGTCCGTTACATGCAAAGAACCCGCAAATAAGCGGGCCTCATGGATTGATCCGCGGTTCTCATGTGTTTAATGGGATTTCGTCCGTGGGTTGGCGGATCAGCCAGTAGGTTAGTATTTATTGATTAGAAATATAATTTACACTTATACATAAAGTTTTTTTACACATGCAATTCATTAAACATGTGGTATTTTAGGAATTTTTAGTAAATAAAATTAGAACATACTAGTGATATCAAGATAAACCAGAATGAGTTTAAGATTGTTCACGGTCCAGATTCAGGTTCACATAGTATTAATGCTAACAGCTAAAGCTAATTAATCATCGAATTTTCATACATAATATTAACTAGATCATCACCCGTACTAAAGTACGGGTTGAATTTTATTTATTACAAAATTTATATAATATATATATTATAACTAAGTTTTAATATATTATAATAGTAAGTGAAAAAATATTAATTTTTTTGTCAGTCCCTATATACAATATTAGAATAAATATAGAATTTTTTCTATAATACTCAATTATGGATAATTTTTTTTTTAAGATATGAAAACGGAAAATAATTTTATTTTTTAAAAAGTAATATTTTTTGAACAATGAGTTAATTTATGTTAACAACCACAAAATAGGATTGCATATATTTCAGTTAGATCAAAAATTAAAATATCATAAAGAAATCGCATATAAAACATAGTTTATTTTGAATTAATTAAGAAAATTAGGTATTATTTTGAATTAATTTACAAAATTCTTTTTCAATTCATAATTCTTTGGTTGTTGAAATAGAGATTTTTTTGAGCTAATCTAATTACAGAATTTGTTTGAGATTTATAATTACGGAATTTACCAATTATTCGCATAATCGAATATGTTATAAACATATATTTAGTATATAATAATACCAAAATCAATCCGTGCGTGGAGTCTATATTTTTATTTTAGAATCTCAATATTTCATTTTAAAATATTGCGTGCACAATCTATTATTCGTTAATTCTAAAATTGTTTGCGGAATCAAAATTTCAAATATTTAGAGGTGTCAAACCATATTTAAATGTTCTACACTATTTTTAAATATTCCAAATTAAAATCTTTAAATTTTTTTGTAGTTTATAAATTTATGAATTTCAAAAAACAAATTATATGAAATTAAATATAACTATTCAAATAGTTATAAGGATCAAAACTCATTTCATCATATAATATATTATATTTAACCCGCTACCTATTATAAATATTTTTAAAAATAATCAAATTAGAGTATTTATAATTTTTAACGTTTTGAACTATTAAGTATTGATGATATTATCTAAGAATATCAAGTAAAACTTATTTTAAATGTTGCAAATTAAAATATTTAAATTTTTATTGTAGTATATAAAATTATACATTTCAACAAAATAAATGTATGAAATCGAATATAAATATTCAAATTCTGACCCGTTGCTTAGTCGGAATTTTTGTTGACTTTATTTTTGTGTAAAAAAAATATATTACTCAAGTCTGAATTTTTGACCCGTTTAATTGTTTCTTTTATATTGAACAATTTATATGCGTTTTTAAAAATTCAAATCTTGGCATATGCAGAAAAAATTTACTTTTTTTTTATTATGTAGATGATATGATGATTTATTTGTTTCATATTAATATAATCATATAAAGATGAGAGGTGAAGTTTAATGATTAATAACAAATTAATATGGTAAGTTAGATATCAAATCTTATATGTTCATTTTGATTGGTCATTTAAAAAAGAGAAATTGTTAAAAATGCCCCTTTTTCAATATCCCTTTTCGGAAAAATGGGTAAAAAAACCCTCACCTTTCTTAAAAACATAGAAAAAACCCTCAACTTTTTTTGTGGGTTTTTAAACCCTCACCTTTTATAAATGGTTAAATAAACCCTAATATTAATAAATTTAATTTAATTTTTTAAAACATCATTATATTAAAACAGTAAGAAACAAAAATAATTTAATTTATCATTATTTATTTCAAATTTGAGTTTACGATTTTTTTCTAAAATTAGGGTTTTTGCGCTATGAACATTTATTCACCATTTAGTTGAGATTAGGCAAATTATTTTTGTTACAATTAGAAGTTATGTTATATAAACTACAAAATTTTATAAGATATCACATTTGATGTTTTTTTTTAATTGGAGTGTTCAGGTTTTAGATAAAAATATAGTTAAATAATGATTAATTAAATATAATTTATATTATATTTTAATATATCATAATATATATTTATATATAGAAATATTAAATTTTAGTAAATCTTATTTAGTTTGTTCAGTGAAAATATTTTGATGTGGAAATTCATGTATTCATGTACTTTTCGTAGTATTGTAAAATTTGGTTTGGTTTTACGTTAGTAAATTTGTGTGATCGAACCTAATAAACCTTTATTAATAAAAATTCATATTCGGTTTCGATATAAGAATTTACATATAATTCGTAATAATATCTGTTTGGTTTCACGTTGATGAATTTTTGTACCACACCGAATAAAACTTCACTAGTTAACTTTTTTACATCATGACTTACATGTTTTCAATTTAGAAAAATATTGTAAACTAGAATTTTAGAAAAAACACCCTAAATCAAATTATTTCTATTTATTTACGTTTTAGTATAACTATTTTTTTTTAATTTAAATTAAGTTTATTAATACTAGGGTTTATTTTACCATTTATGAAAAGGTGGGGGTTTAAAAACCCACAAAAAAAGTTGGGGGTTTTTTCTATGTTTTTAAGAAAGGTGAGGGTTTTTCTACCCATTTTTTCCTCCCTTTTCAAAAATGCCCCCTTTGAGAGTCCATTTTTAAGTTTGCCCTCTTTTAATTTTTAATGACCATTTTACCCTTATTTGAAACAAAATTAGGTCCACAAAATACAAAATATTTTTTGGCGGGAAAAGTGATCCCGCAATTTTCCCGCCGAAACACTTGTAAAAACCTTTAAAATACCTTGTAAAATTTTCCCGTAAAAATTTTTCCCGCCAAAAATTTTTTTTTGCGGGAAAAGTGATTCCGCAATTTTTTTGGCGGGAAAAATTTACAAGGTATTTTAAAGGTTTAACAGAGTATTTACAAGTGTTTTGTAAGGTTTTACAATGTATTTTAAAAGGTTTTACAAGGTACTTATAAGGTTTTATAAGGTATTTATAACTTGTAAAACCTTATAAAAAACTTGTAAAACCTTATAACTTGTAAAACCTTATAAAATAGCTTGTAAAATCTTATAAATACCTTATAAATACGTTGTAAAACCTTTTAAAATACATTGTAAAACCTTATAAATACCCTGTAAAAAACATTTAAAATACCTTGTAAATTTTTCCCCCCAAAAATTTTCCCGCCAAAAATTTAACGCCAAAAAAATTGTGGAATCACTTTTCCCGCAAAAAACTTTTTTGGCGGGAAAATTTTTTGGCGGGAAAAAATTTTACGGGAAAATTTTACAAGGTATTTTAAAGGTTTTTACAAGTGTTTTGGCGGGAAAAATTGCGGGATCACTTTTCCCGCCAAAAAATATTTTGTATTTTGTGGACCTAATTTTGTTATATTTACTTAAATATTTCCTTATATATTAAAAGAAGGGTAATTTAGTCATTTTGTACATAAAAAGGGGTATTTTTAAAAATGGACAGTCAAAGGGGGCATTTTTGAAAAGGGGTATTGAAAAAGGGGCATTTTTGTGAGTCTCCCTTTAAAAAAATAATAATAACAGATTTTCGTTTTATAATTTAATTTAATTAATTAAATGACATAAATTAGTATTTTACTTGTTTATCCTTAATAAATTGAATGAAATTTGTTCTAAAAGAAGATTTTTGTAATGGCATTATTAAGTAAATTCTTACAAAAGGGAAGGTTAGTTAAGGGTATCTTATAAAGTGTACTCCCCAAATAATAGTATAGGATGCTAACGGCACAAAAACCTCACCCAGTGAAATTCTTACGACAAGTCATGGACTCATGGAGAACCCCATTGTATGTAACTTTTACAGACCAAACCTTAGTTAATGTTGGTACTCTTTTATAAATCGATTCAAATAAATTTCTCTATAAATCGATTTATTGGTATTCTTTTATTTCCTCTCTGTAGTCCATATTTCTTAGTTAATGTTGCTCGTTTCACATTTGGAGTTTCAACTCTATTTAAATTTATAAACGGCTAATCTAATACCTAATCAAAGCATTCAAAGACGTTAAATTAAGATAATTAATTAATATCTCAGTTTCACATTTCATTCCATATAAATAAACAAAGATCTTATTGTTGTTCATCAATCAAAAACAAACAGAGCATTAAGCATATATTTGGCTATACTAAGGCTCTTTTTATTCAATTTCTCATTATGTCTATCAAAAATGTGATTTCACTCCTAGCGGTTCTATGCATCATAGTTTCTGTGAATGCTCAGTTGCCACAGTTCCCCGCTCCGTTTCCTTTTCCATTTCCGTTCCAACCGATTCCTGGTATGCCAGGATTACCTGACATAACAAAATGTTGGTCATCCGTGATGGATATTCCTGGATGCATTGCAGAGATTTCTCAATCCATTTTCACTGGAAAATTCGGTAATTTAGGTCCAGCTTGTTGCAAAGCATTTTTAGATGCCGAAGCCAATTGCATGCCGAAAATTCCATTCATTCCGTTTTTCCCTCCGATGCTAAAGGAACAATGTTCAAGAATTGCCGGTCCAACTCCTCCTACACCAAAATAGAGTTTTAATTTATTTTAAAAAATATTTGATTTTTTTCCAAGTTATTTCTTAAAGTATTAGTTTACTCTACATGTTAATTATACTTCAAAAAAAAAACAATGATACAATAATAACATTTGAGAAGTCTTATTTGGGTTCAATATTTACTCATTCTTCAATTCTAATAAATAACACCTTGAAACAAATTTCATATAACCTCTCAGTATATGGACAAAAAATGAAATAATTTTTTGATGATATTTGAATTGTATATAGTATTCTATCGCATGTAAATTCTCTTCTTCGCTCTAGGCTTCAGCTTCCCTTGATCGATATGGTTGTAAACCAAACAGCCAAATCACGTCATGTGTGAGTATTCTGGCTTTCTTCCTGAATAAAGCTCTTCTGGAATTTGGAAATCCAATGGTGTTGAGGGAGTCCGGCCCATAATGATTCTTCCAGATCTGTCTCACTCAACATGCTTCTAACCTTCTCAAGAATATTTCTATATAACCTCTCTACAACTTCGTTCTGTTGTAGAGTATATGGACAAATTTCATGTCTCATAACTCAATTCTGCTTGCAAAAGTCATGAAAAGTGGTCTTGTCGTACTCCACGCCATTAATTATCAGTTCTTAATGGCTTTACCTTCTTACAACTTTGATTTTCCACCAATGCCTTCTATTCAACAAACTTGGAGAATGCTTCATCTTTGGTCTTTGGGAAATAGGATCTTATGCTTCCATAAAGTGAAATCTCCTTCACCATCAAATTTCTCTACCTTAAGCTTGTCTTGAGTGGGTTCCATTTGAACTTTGTAAAACTACAAACGTCAAATTTTGGGATACCAATTCAGAACCAACACACACACACAAAACTTCAAAGATAACACGGAATTCAGAAACTAAACAAGAATGTCTTCAGCTTTTACCTGCTGTGACTAACTCCATCTTCTTTATAAACTCACTGTTGAACCTTCTCAAGTATTCAAAACACTCAGATATGCACTTCTAGTAGTAAAGATGTCACCTTTCTTAAGAAAACTTGGACCTCTCTTATGAAATCTTGAACCTTTCACTATAAAGCTTTATGATAAAGTTCACACATTTCCTTAGAACCTTGGCTCTGATATCATTTGTAGCAAATGTTTAGCTTAGATTCAACTTTATACCTTAATCTTATGCCTTACGTCACTTGTCGTTTGTTGTGATTTTTGCAGAAAATAAAAAAGACAGAAAATACGAGTTCCCAGGGTCAAGGTGACCAAGGTACGTCTTGGTGAGCTTTAACCCAGCTCACAAGAGTATGAATCTGAAACTTATTACAAGAGAAACAAACACCAGCTCACATCACTCACCAACAGAGATACATCATAGAGAAAGAAAGAAAGAAGAAGAAGAAGAGAAGAAGAAGAAGAAGAAGAAGAAGCCAGGATCTGCTTTTAGCCTGATTGGTAGGTTGGGTGGTGTGGGTTGCCTCACGATAACCAAGTGGGGGTTTGTTGATGGGTCTGTTATGCCTGAATTGGTTTAAGTCTCATTCAACCAACTCTCTTTTTGAAGCAGATAGTTCACGAGATATATATGTATGTGTTGCCCTCGTCAAAGGATAAAAGGGTTTTTGCCACAGAGACGATAACACAGGTTTTGTTCAAAGGTGTAGAGTCATCTTCTCACGCAAGTAATCTAAGAAACTTGATACACACGAAACATTCATCGAGTTCTTGAGATATATAGGATCTCAGCGGCTCTAACATCCCGTGTCTGATCAACAAATTTGTGTGCGTGTGGATACTAGTAAACGCAAGATGTTTAGAGTGCTACACAACCTCAAGTCGTTTCGATCCACAGTTCCCCTACAAAATCTTAAGGTATATTCATATTTCTATTATCTAGATTCAATTCATTATGTGCATAAATTATAAAATTTGAATTCGTAAAATAGATATTTCTGAGCACACCTCTATTTCTAATCATAACGTATTTAGTGAAAATTTTGATTGCTCTGACTATCTCAAATCTTCGCTCTCTCGGATCTCTTGTTTAGGTTACAACACAGTTAAGGTCGTTTTTGGGTCAAAGAATGTCTTCTACAACTGTCCAGAGCTTGAGAGAACGTTCTCCTTCTTCATATTCACTCAAGATCAAAAACTTCTCGCAACTCGAGAACTTGGCTCTCGGCTCTGCTGATGGCAAATATCTATCCCGTCTTTTCTCCGCTGGTGGATACAACTGGTACGTACGTACGGCATGCATAGCTACAAGTCCGCAATATATAGTTGCACGTTCTTGATCATGATCATCATCAAAACAATGTTTATTTCAATCTTTTTTCTTGCCTTAAAAATTTGAAAAAGAGGCATTATCTTAACTTATGCAAACGCAGGAGAATGATCTTGTATCCGAAAGGGAACGATAAGGATAACGGAAGTGACTTTATTTCAATGTATGTGGAATTAGACAGCTCAAGCCTATCCACACCATCAACTGAGGTGTTTGCGGATTTTCGATTTTTCGTCTTGAACAAAAAGGAAAACAAGTACTTAACTATTCATGGTATGTATGTACACATCTTCTCTTACTATACATATGTATCTGCTTTTTTTTTATTTATTTCTAATCATCAAATATATCCAGATGTAGAATTGAAACCGTTCAATACTTTTAGATCGGTGTGGGGATTGCCGCAAGTACTTCCGCTTAGTACATTCAAAGACCCTGAAAATGGATATATCTGTCTAGGTCAATGCGAGTTTGGTGTTGATGTCATTGTTGCTCCACCCCCTACCAATTGGGAAATCCTTTCTTTTGATGAAAAACTCGTTTATCCTTATAAGATCTTTTGGCCTGTTAAGAATATCTTTGAGATACTAGGGCATTGTCACACATCACAAAGATTTTCAGTGGGAGGAAAGACATGGTAAGTATGATATGGTATAAGAATACTTTATTTTGGAGTAATATATATGTACACTCTTGTCTTAATGATTGTTTAATTAACATGTGCATGACATCTAGGGCTATAGAATTGTATCCCAAGGGAAGCAGAACAGCAGATTATAATAAATGGGTATCCATATTTCTCACTGCTGCTGATTGTGAAACACTTAAAGAAGATGAAAAGATTTTCACGCAAGCTTACTTGCGAATTTTAGATCCACGAGGATCCAATCACTTATCACGCTCAAGTAAGTCTTATAATATAGTATGTAATAACGTTTTTAAGCTAACAAAAGTTGAAGAGATCTCAAACAAACTTTGTCTTTTGCAGTTACCAAATGCTACAACAAATCGAATTCATCTTGGGGATACTTTCGATTTGTGTCTATAGATGAACTTAAGAATACTTACTTGGACATGGAAGGTGCTTTGACTCTAGAGATCCAATTTGATGTTGTTTCCACAACCAAACACTCCCTCCCATGATTTAATCAAGCTCTACTTTTTAAGACTGGTATGATACATTGGATATGTTCCAAACACTTAATTATCTTTATGAGTTTTTTGGTGTTTTCGTTTATTTTGTTCACGTCCTCTTGATTTTGAAATTCTTCGATAGTTATGATATTTACAATTACATGAACTATGTTTGGATGATTTCTATGGAAGATGATTACATTTCTCATAGGATATTGTTTAGTCTTTCTTTATTTTATGGAAAACCTTTGGAAAGTAAAGACCAATCCTAAACATTGATCGCTTCAGCCCAAAGTAATTCAAACATTATTTTTGTACACCAAACGAGGCCAAAGGCTCCCCAAGAGTTATAGCAATTGGGTAGATGGAAGAAGTTTTTGGTTTTTTTTTTTTTAATCACACAGTATACAAAAGATAATGAAGGTAAATAAGCAAAAAAAAAAAAAAAAAAAAAAGAAAAACAAAAACAGATCATGCCTTAAGCAAGAAGCATAGGAAACTGAATTAGCTTGTTGTATGAGACTGATGAGTACACGTTAGAGTGTGTGGTCTTGGATAGAAGATTTGAAGATGAACCAAAGGGAGAGGAAAGAGTACTCAATAGGAATATGAGTGGCATAATAAATTTTCTTTAGAGCTTGTAACGGATGGTTGCTAGAGATCTCGGCGTTGAGAATAATCAAAGGCCTTGACGTTAACACAAACAAACGCTGATTATGCTCATTCCACAGTGTAAATTGAGGACTAGAAGAGGATCACAACGATGATGGTAATGAGAAGTGGGAGAATAGGAATCTACCAGTTAGTATCATCAAAAGACAGAGGTTTAGATGCTTAGAGAAAGTATGCATGTCACACCATGGAGCTACATGCTTCATCGTTGGGGTACTATATACTTGAAGCGATCTGACAGGAACAAACAGAATCCACTAATACCCTAATTAAAAAGGAGGAGAAATAGAGTGATTTAAGGCCAAGTAAAGCTATAGATGTAAGAAGATGTACAATATACTTACAGAGAATCCAGCAGAATCAAGTTTTTAAACTAATTAGCTACTGATTATAAGTGACCATTAGCTAAGGATGTAGTGAGTGTAGTGATGCATATAATTATATGTTTATTAGGTTGCTTGATTGCTTGAGTATGTTCATGAGGTGTGTGTTCTGTCCTATTGCTATGTATATGCATGCTAAATTGTTTGGATGATTGTTGTGGATTACGTGGGTGACGGGAATGCACTGGCTGAGTAATTCATTACTCATAGGTCATCTCGAGAGTAGCAATACAAGAGTCTTATATACGTTGGTTACATTTTGTGGTTAAGATTCGTGTAATGTGTCGTGACCACAAAAAAGCAGAATGAGTGCCACACCGTGTTACAAAAATGACCATAGAAAAACAAAGTTTTTACAAGTGGCTAAAATCGTCTAGCTACAAAGTTTATCCATAACCATCCCATAACTAATTAAAATCTATTTAAAATTCGGGTGTAACCACTAATTATTATGTCGCTAAATCTAAGTTGTCATTATAGTACAATCATTGTTTATGGCATTCTTTGTTTAAATGTTATTTAAACTTTATGAATGATGTTTGTTTGAATAACTTAGGCGATGCCGATTGGTAAAACCCGAACGAATCTGAACCAAGTTTTTATAAACAGAGTTATAAAATAATCCGAAAAAACATAAATTTTATACCAAATTTTCTGATCCGAACCGAACAAAACTATGTAAAAGTGAACCAAAGTAATCAATATTTCGTAAAAAGAACTAATATTTTTAAATTATAGATATATATATTAAGTAAGAATTTACCATTTTAGTTAAAATCAGGTAATTTGTTTTTGTTTTTTTATAATGATATTTTTCGTCAAAACTAAACCAAACTATAATTTCAATTTTGAAAAATATATAAACTTTTTTTTATTGTTTAAATTTATATTCTGGTTCTTCTTAGTTTTTAGTTTAACTTCAGGAATAATGTTTTAAGCATCTTTCCGCATTTTTTATAACTTCATGAACCAGCTCGTTACCGTAGGTTAGTTGAACGGTTGATATATCTCTCGGTTACTCAACCTGCTATTCATATCTTGACTCACTTCATGAAACAACCAAAGATATATCATTGGGAAGCTGCACTTCGGGTGGTCAGATTTCTTAAAAGTCGATCATCCCAGCCAAGGGATTTTGCTTCGGGCTGATTCTCCGTTAACGCTAACAGCATGGTGCTACTCTGACTGGTCTAGGTATCTTCTCACACTGTATTGTTTTAGACTTTGAACTTTTTAAGAAATTTAAAGTTTGATTGGTTCAATTTCATTGGTTATTTCACTGTATAGTAGAAATTCTAGGAGTTACAACCAAAAAATTAAGTAAAATTGTTTTAGACTTTGAACTTTTTAAGAAATTTAAAGTTTGATTGGTACAATTTTTTTGTTTTGTTTTGTTGTAGAATGTAAATTACAGCCCAACCAATTCATTCAATAAAAAATTGTTTCAATGATAGACATGGAAACGAGAAACACATTCTTGTTCAAAAGTGTGGTGAATCTCCTCACCTCAAATAATTGAAGAAAACTTATAAAGACGAATGAGTTCGTCGAGTTCTTGAGATTATTTTTCAACGGCACTAGCAATTCCATGATTCAATTTGTGTGTGATACCAGTAAAAAGTAAAAACATAACGTTTGGAGAGCCACACAACAGTTTCACTTTGATTTTCTACTCAGGTTTAACTAGTAAGGTTTTGGAGGATAAAGTTAGTTTTTCTCAAAATTTCTCAAGAATGATGCACCAGATGTAACAAAGATTTTTTTTTGTGGTGAATTATTGGGAGAACCGGAGATTGACCGAGATCGACGGTCGAGAGGATTGCCCAAGAATATGGAAATCATGAAAATCAAGAAGGATCTAGAAGATTATCGTATCTTAGTTTAGAAATATTTACATTTATCTCTAAAGTATAATTTACATTTATCTTTATCATAGTTTAGGAAATTATATTTAATATTTATCTCTATATAAGAGAATGTACTTTGTATCTTTATTCTTATGAGAGTCTATTACAATTCTTCCTAAACACCTTTGTGTTCTTTACTCTCATCAATTTATCATGAATAAATTTTACATTCATTAAAGAAAAGAAAAATTAAATCTTGTTATTTCGCTTTAGTTTAGAAACAAAAAAAAATTGTGAATTCAAATCTACTGATTCATATAAATACTAAATTATAGCGAAATCACAAGATTTTGATTTTTTTTTTTTTTTTAATGAATGTAAAATTTATCTTAAAGGGATTATATTCAAGATATACCTGAATCTTTAGGAAATATGAGTATAGTCTTTATCTAATTAGGACTAATAATCTTTATCATAATAGATATAGACTTATCTCTAATAATTTTCAAGACAAATCTTCTCTCGCTCTCTTGTAGACATATATATAATCTTCGGACTTACAACAAAGCTTTGGATGTAGAAGGGTCTTTTTTGGGATCATGTGTTCCAGCGGGTCTTCTACAACTGTGCAAAGCTTGAGAGAACGTTCTCCTTCTTCGTATTCACTCAAGATCCAAAACTTCTCCGAACTCGAGAATTCGACTCGCCTCTCTGATGGCAAATATCAGTCCCGAGTTTTCTCCTCCGGTGGGTACAACTGGTACGTATGGCATGCATATTCACTAAGTAGTCCCCAATGATTGTACATTTTCTTTTTGATAATTCATCATCAAACAATCTTTATTTCAATCTTTTCTCTTGTCTTTAAAATTTGAAAAGAGACATATTATCTTGACTTATGCAATACACTGTTCATAAAATTCAGGAGAATGATCATATACCCTAAAGGGAATGATAAGGACAACGGAAGTGGATTTATTTCAATGTATGTAGAACTAGATATCACAAGCCTGTCCACATTATCGACCGAGGTGTTTGCTGATTTCCGGTTTTTTCTTTTTAACAAGAAAGAAAACAAGTACTTAACTATTCATGGTACGTATGTACTATACATACCTATGTATCTGCTTTTCTTCTATTTCTAATCATTGAACATATATATATATATATATATATATACAGATGTAGAACCGAAGCCGTTCAATAGTTTAAGACCGGTGTGGGGATTGCCGCAAGTACTTCCGCTTACTACATTCAAAGACCCTAAAAATGGATATGTCTTTGTAGATCATTGCGAGTTTGGTGTTGATGTCATTGTTGCTCCACCCCCTACCAATTGGGAAATCCTCTCTTTTAATAGAAATATCTCTTGTCCCAAGTTCTCTTGGACTCTTAAGAATTTCTCGCAGCTAAAAGAGAATAGTTACACATCAAACAGTTTTTCAATGGAGGGAAGGAAATGGTAAGTACATATATGGTATATGAAAACTTTAATTTGGACTAATAAATATGTGTGTGCGCTCGTCTTAGTGATTGTTAACATCTGCGTGATATCTAGGGCTCTAGTCTTGTATCCCAAAGGCGCCACGAAAGCAGACGGAGGAAAATGGTTATCTATTTATATGTGTCTCGCTGAGGATGAAACACTTCAAGAAGATGAAGTGATTTTCACGAAAGCTCTTATGCGAGTTATAGACCCACGTGGATCCAATCACTACACAGAATCAAGTAGGGCTTACAAAACATTATATAATATTATTTTTAACGTTTTAAAAACTAACAAAAAAGTTGAAGAGATGAGACTATTTCTAGTATACACTTGATATATTCATTTGGATTTCAGTAATTCTCAAGTACCCTAATTTTTTTCTTGGCAGCTAACCAGTGGCGCAATAACTCAGATCGAACTTGGGGATACCCTCAATTTATGTCTATAGATGATCTTAGGAAGACTTACTTGGACATGGAAGATACTTTAAATATAGAGGTCGAATTTGAGGTTGTTTCCACAACCAAATACTCTCTACTATGATTTAAGTTCTACTATTAACTACTTTGCATTTACTTAGATTACTCTATGATATATTGGATATGTTTAAAAATCTTAATTATCTTCTCGAGGTTTTCTTT